TGATGCGTTAAATCGGCGCATGATGCGCCAGGTGCAAATTTTTCAAATTAAGACGGTTCGAGATACATTTTGCATGAATTTTCAAAGGGAGACTTGTTCTAAACACCCCATGGAGTGATTCAATGCATCTAGACACTTTGGAAGGTTCTGATTTGAAGGGATTTGACTCTTGGATCAAAGAGGCACATCTTTTGAATTCAAAGTTTTGACTTTTAAATTTTGGAGGGAAATTGAAACTCTTTCCAAAGGAGGTAGCCCAAAAATAGATGGGGAAAAAGAACTTTTAAAGGGGGGCGACAAAAGCCAGGTGGTGTGAGAAACAAGAGGGAGAGATAGAGAGAGAAAGTCAAAGGCTTAGAGATTGTCTTCTAGGGTTGTAAGAGGAGAGGAAAAGTGAGAGATATCTTTTTCATTATACTTCTAAGAGAGAATTGAGAGTGCTTGTAAAGAGAGAAATACTTGGATAGAACTTATAGAGATTTGCTTGGGAATGATTGTGAGATAAATTGTATTTTTCATTTCTTTTGTTTGTAAACTTATTTTTTTATATGAAGGTCGTGTTCTATCGTATCCTTCTCATGAATTCTGAGTAGTCTTCTTTATCCTTCTCTTTACTTTGAAGAAATGGTTTTGTGAAAAATTGATTTCATTTTCTATGGTTTTAAATGTCAATAATTTGTGATGATTTGAACTCCGATCTTCATTTACTTTTCGATCTGGCCAATTGAATTGTTAAAATGTGTTTAGAAACATATGTTCTGAAAATAGGATATGATTTCTACAACAAAGGGAGAATCACATTTGATTTTATGGGAGAGTATGTCATCCATGAGATTGAGTGCACATAAATAAAGAAATATACTTTGTTGGATGTAGAATTGGAAGATTTTAAGGTGAAATATTAGAATAATCAATTTAGTTCAGTTGATTGGAAACTAATGCGAGTATATTAGCCCTCAGGTGAGGGAGTAGTGGGGGAGCTTTGGAGTGACAGCCGGTATCCTCCCAGCCTAACCACGAAATTAAGGACCAAACTCTGGATTAGTCAATAATATTTATAGCGCTCGAAGGAGGGTAGAGAATAGGATTGCTTTTATTTGGTATAAAATAGTTTTTAAATATATTTTTCAAATAATTTCAATTCCTTCACAAGCCATATTTTTATTATAAAGGGGAAAGATGTTTTCTCATACTTGAACTTTTCGTCAACAAAAACCTTTATTTATTTCAACAATTTTACTTTTGAAAGTTTAGCATCTAATTTAACTTAATTGTTGTAGTAGTACATCTACATATTTAGTAGTATTTCATTTGAGTAGTTTAACTTCAAACTTCGTACTTAATTTGTTTTTATTTCTATTTTAATTTAAAAACAGAATATAAATAACTAGCTTATATATATTTCCAGCTTCCCTGTGGAATCGATATCTAGGACTCTATTAGAGCACTGTATTACTTGAACGATACATATAACGATACATATACTTGTGTTATTAAAAGGGAATTGAGAGTTAAAAAGAGGTTTTAAAGATAAATTATTTTCATTAAAGTTACATTATTATTTGGGGTTACATTGCATATTTATTATTAATTTAATCTCAAGTTTCCGTGCATCAGAGACACTCACTGAAAGATGATTTTCGAAGCATTCTTTGATGAGGAGGGCAATTTTCACTACGTCTCGAAAGTTCATTTACATTAATGTCTTGAAATGATTGTGGTGGGATGACCTTCCCAAATTTCATGTAGGTATCAAGTCTACAAGAATCTAATTACAAGCTGGGGGGCAACATTCACAACTATCTTGAATGGTCATTTAGTTCAATGTCCTAGGCACGATTGTGGTGGGGTAGTAGTCTCACTCTCTATTTAGATATCAAGTTTGTGATAGCCAATTTCTGGCATAAAGGAAACTTTCAATGCACTTCAAAAGGAAACTCATGACATATTTTTAGTTTAAAAATAAGATCAATCAGTGATTAGAGATGTCCAACTATAATGTGTTCTCTCAACACCCCCTCATCTGACTAAAGTTCTTTCTAAAACTAACCAAGAAGCTGACCTCCAAAATATTTGATACATTATAGGCTTGTGTCTTCAACACCTCTATTATGAGAAAATAAATTAAAAAATAATAATAAATAAGTTATTAAATATTATTCATGCATATGGCTGAAATCATATTTTAAAAAAAAATTATGATTCATCTCAACTGAACCCCAAATTAAAGAAATACAAAGAATTTATGACACCTCATTTTGGGCTTAATTAGTTCTAGGGGGACTCAATTCGATATCTTTCAAAATAAGCTATGTCCGTTAAGCAGAAACTTTGTTAACATTAATTTGACTTTATCCAATACAAGTTAATACTACTGAGCATCTCTGACTATATTACAAGTTGATGTGAGTGCTAATCCATAACAAGTTGATGTGAGTGTTGGAAAAGTTTTTGGAATGAAAAGTCATGCTGTCATATTTTTTTCTTACAAAATTTGATGCTAATCACATTTGGTTATTTCCCGAGAGAAGTACTTAATCCATTATTTGAAATCAATGTGTTCTTCAAGGAACTAGTGTAGCTCGTTTAAAGCTCGACGACATACGCTAGCTAGAAGCCAACATTTTTGTAACACTTTGCAAGCTTGAGAGAATATTTCTGCCTAGATTCCTCAATTAAATAGACCATCTCCCTGTACATTTATCCCATGAGGCATTAATTGGAGGTCGAGTGCAATATCGTTATATGTATTTGTTTGAGAGAAAATTACACTGGGACTAGACAGTTACTCACTCATTTATAAAGAATATTGGTAATCTGTATAGAGAACATTTGTTTTTTAGATTTTTGAATAAGCTAAAGAGAACTGTGAAGAATAAGGCCCGACCAGAAGATTGATATGTGAAACATATTTACTGCAAGAGACAACAACATTCTATTCCCATTATTTTGCGGAAGAATAATCTACAAATGAGTCATTGGGTTTGGAGTCATCATTGATTGTTTCTGTTTTCCAGCAGATAGGTGAAGCATCAGGAGGGTGCACATCACGTTACCTTTATGATCAGGAACTTCGAGCAGTGACACTTTATGTTTTTATTAATTACGATGAAGTAAACCCTCTATTAAGGCATTTTTCATTATAATTTTTAACTCATTTATCTGAAAAGTGTCATGATTATCTATTTCAATGTGTGAACAATCTATCATGGATTCGTTAAATTTAGTTGAAGATGATGACACGAATAAGGAGATCGAGAATAACTTCTCTCAGTGGTTTACAACACATGTGAGTTAAGAAATTACAAATTCATTCCACATTTGATAGTAGGCTTTTCATCAAAATTTCTTATATTCATATTAATAGATTCGTGATTGGACAAATGGAGTGATAGATCAACGGTTGATAGATCTTGCTTAGGGATCTATGCACATCATGAAAATTTGGCAAATTTATGATGTAAATGTGTACATGTTTCATACAAGATTATGATCCAATGGAAAAAAAAATTTATTCTGGTCTTTGTGTTAAAACAAATGATAAGTTGGACAACAAGATAGATTATCATGGTATTCTGGAAGAAATTTTTGAACTATCTTATCCAGGCTTTATTGGAGGAAGTGTATTCTTATTCAACTATACTTAGTTTGATCATATTCCTGATTGTGGAACAAGGGTAAACCAACCATTTAATATCACATAAGTAAAAGTGAACATAAGATATGTTTCATTCTAGCCCGTCAGGCAAAACAGGTTTACTATCTTCGATATCCATTTAGAGCATAAGATAACGTTGATTTGGGTTGTTGTTATTTCAATTAAACCAAGAGCCATCATTAACATTCAAAATAACATTGAACCCACCCATCAAAAAACTGAAACGAAAGGTTTCTATTTTCCACTTATTGCAATCGATGAAGAGCTCAATTTAGAGGTTGTTAGTGGTGAATACAAAGAAAATAATCTCGGTGATCAGTATGACTCCGACGATGCGTTTGCAGAAGAGATCATGCTACATCCTCAACCACTCTTCAAATGATGCTGAGTAAGATTAGTAAGTTTATTATACATTTTGTTGAATTTCATATTTCAATGTATTGTGTAGTTTTGTGTTTTCAATTTTAGTAGTTTTACCTTACACATTATAGTTTCATCTACCTGTCTACTGCATACTTATGTGTTTTATGTTTATTACATATTGTTCTTCTTTTATTTTATTACATAATATTTGTTATCTGCATCAAATAATAAAAATTATTTTCCTTCTTGCAGATGTCAACTGGAGGCAGGGACGATCACTGGGGTGGGGGTATGTATCACAGGCATATTTGACGAAGAAGAATGTCAGAAGAGGCCACCCAGCTTTGACACCCACTCCCACCCCCGTCATTACCGCCCCCACACTCACCTTCGACTCCACCCTAACCCCCATCTTCGCCCCCGCCTACGCACCCTCCCACACCCCTACCACTACCCCCGTCCCCACACTCACCCACACCGCTGCCCTGATCCCCACCTCCACACTTGACTACACATCC